AACTTCATGTTCGTTGCATCTATGACACTGTCTAACCATCTCATCCTTTGCCGTCCCTGTCTTCTTTGACCTTCAATCTTTCCCAGCATCAGGGTCTTCTCCAGTGAGTGCTCCCTTCTCATTTGGTGGCCAAAGTATTTGAGCTTCAGTTTCATTATCTGATAATGGTCACCAATAAATAACAAGCAAGCTGCAATCGTGCAAATGCGCTTATATTCTAACCCAAGAGTACTTATATTATAACAGTAATACAAAAGTACAACAATATACACTATCTATAATATTTCGATCCTGGATGTTCAATTCCAGATGTTCAGATGACGAGATTCTCCGGAGTAGAACCTTCGTTCCGTGGGAACTTTATCAAACATCAAATACCTTTTATGGAAAATACTATAGTAATTATCTCATTATTAGAACAATGTACAATTGTAACTCTATCAACCTTAAATGGACCAGGGTGGGGGTAATGGGATTGTGGATGTCCCCTATCAAAACTTGAATGGTTTCAGCTTTTGATTTATAACACGCTCTCCCCTCTAGAAATTATCTAACAGTGAGTCGTGTAGTGGCCAAGTTTGCCGATGAAGCAATGTTATTCAGGATGGTGAAAATCAAGGCTCACTATGAAGAGCCTGGAGAGGACCTCCACAAACCATGGTGAGTGGGTGACAATGTGGCAAATGAAGTTCAGTGTCGGTCAGTGTAACGTGATGCTCATTGGGACAAGGAATTCCAACTTCACATATAGGCTAATGAGGTGTGAACTTGCTGAGGTTGAGAAGGAAAAAGATCTTGGGGTCGTAGTGGAGAGCTCAATGAAAGTGTCAGCGCAGTGTCCTGCAGCAGTGAGCAGGGCAAACTTGGTTGGGGATTATTAGGAAAGGGATTGAACATAAAAGGGCTGATAATGCTGTTACCATGTGTGTTTGCAATTGCATTTTTGTCTGTACTGTGCTTACGCTATGTTGGTCAAATGTCTGTATATCTGTACCTTTGGGACTCAGGGTTCACTGCTGTGTGTGTTTGCTGCTGTGTGTTTGAATGGCTGGCCTTGCACCTCATGCTGCCTATGAATGGGCATGGCTTGAGATGCCTGCCACAAGACACATGCCTCCCTGGAATCTCCCAGAGTGCCTCTGGACAAAGGAGACCAGCGCCATTATGCACAATGAGAGACTTGGAGAAACAACAGGCTTTTCCACCATTGGCGAACTGTGGGAAAGCACGCAATCCTCCCTGGTATCTGGTTTTGGAATCACAAAGACAACTTCCTCAATTGCCTCTGGACCAGGCGCATCCTCTGCATGTCAAAGGTTGCCAATGGAAACGACAGTTTCACACCTGACCACATGGCCCTTTGAAGTTAGGGCAGCATATCTGCATATTGCCCCCTTCCCCTCATTAGGACGTCACCACTCTTTGACTTATAGCCTTAGCAAAGAGGACGGACCCCAGGGTTTATGGCCGTAAAAGCCAAACCCAAAACATAGCTTTTAAAAAGAGGAACACAGCTTTTGTTCTTCAGGTCTTGTTAGGTACCCATTCCCTCCCCTACCTCGCAACTTAAGTGCTGCAGGTGAGTCTTACTGTGTTCCCGGGAGTCGCGACCCAGGAACCCACACGTGGCTCGGCCGGTCCAGTCCGTGTGCTTCTAGAATTCACCCGCTGATCCTTAAGCTGCTCCTTTTTGCTATGAGGAGATTTCTCCCAGCTTGGACCTCAGATAAGTATAGCGATATCCCGTTGTGTTATCCCCCTTGTCTGTTGCTTTTGTTATTTTCTTTGCTGATTGTTTTCTATGAGCTTCTGTAACTAAGGATCTTGTGAGAATCTGTGTATGCATCTGTTTTTCGTATGCTTCAGAACGGTTTAGTAAAAGGCAACATTTATTCATAAACCTAGCGTGTTGTCTCAATTCCTGGGAATTAGGAGTGTTTCGTTGGCCAATCTGACCTCTGTATACATTGGCAAGAACTCACGCCACGCCCACTGTCGTAGATAAGTCTGAGTTGGGCATTCGGAACCATCCTTAGAGGAGTTCCGGTCACAATGCCCCTGTATTGATCTACGGTGTGCCTTATTTGGAAAACTGTGTCCAGTTCTGGCCATCGTATCTAGAAAAGACATCACAGAGCTGGAAAAAGTAGGGTGGAGGGCAACCAAGATGATTAGGGGGTTGGAGGACTTTCCCTATGAGGAAAGGCTGAAGGTTCTGGGACTTTTCAGTTTAGAAAAGAAACGACTAAGGAGGGACTTGATGGAGGTTTATAAAGTTCCGCATGGGGTGGAAAGAGCTGACAAAGAGAAATTTTTCTCCCTCTCTCAAAATATTAGAACTCAAGGGCATCCAATGAATTATTTATTTATTGACTTGATTTTATATCCCACCCTCCCTGCCAGGGCAGCTTACATGGAATTTACTGAGCAAATAAAACCGCATTGAATAAAATCACAACAACATAAATATAAAAAACATAACATAAAGTGCTAGTGCGGTCCGTATAGTGAGGGTGGACATTAGCAGCATCCAACATAGGCATACAGTCAGCTAATGTCATAGTCTGGTTTATATTGGCGGAGCTCGGCTGTTAATAGTGGTGCAATGAGAACGGAGTGATTTCAGTGGCTGATTGCACACGAGGGAACTGCCACAGAAAGGAAAAGAGAAACAGCCCAAACCTGAAGATCCTCAGGATTTACTGTATTCATAAGACATGAATTGTATTTTGTAGCTTTATGGATATTCTTAGACACCATCATCCTCATTTGATGTGTTAAACCAGGGTTCCCCAACCTTTTTGAACCTGTGGGCACCTTTGGAATTTGGGCACGGGGTGGTCGATACAGCCACAAAATGGCTGTTGGAAGAGGTGGAGTTAGGGTTGGCGGGGTTCCCTTTGGCCACCGGCAGGGGATGGGGGAGGTGTAGGGTAGCCAGATCCTGGTTGGGAAACTCCGGGAGATTTGGGGGTGGAGCCTGGGGAGGTCGGGGACCTCAGTGTGGTTCAATGCCAGAGAGTCCACCCTCGAAAGCATCCATCTTCTCCAGGGGAACTGATCTCTGTAGTCTGGAGATGAGCTGTAATTCCAGGGGATCCCCAGATCCCACCTGGAGGCTGGCATCCCTAGGTGGAGCCAAGAACAAAATGGCTGCTTCAGAAGGCAGAGGACATACGTATAGGAAGCCCAAGTGCAGGGGAGAAGATAGGTAGTTTGAAAAATACACTCGGAAAAAGGAGTGAGAGAGAATAAAACCAACACCGCGGTCGCAACTCCAACTGAAACAATATTGTTCTAATTGTCATACCGAATTAGATCTCCAATGGCCAGTCAGAAGCTCTGCTGGGCAAGAGCCCCACATGGGGCCACCCACTTTCTAAAAACAGTTGGAGGACACCAGGAAAGGTATTGGCAGGCACCCCATTAGGGGACCCGTGTGTTAAAAGAATCTGTCGTCAGTCAGTCTGTGCTCAGTGATAGCACAGATTCTTCAGACAAAGAGTTGCCTGCAGCCAGTCCTCAGCCAGTAATTGAACAACTGGCTGCAGCTGACTCTGAGCCAGGAGGAGAGCAACAAGAGATCAGGTTACCGAATGAGCAGACGTCACTGCCTACAGCTGAAACCGAGCCATCACCTTGTAGCTCTGAAGCAGTAAATAAGTCTTCAGAAGCCATTCCCAGCCCACCCACACCCCTGCAGCACCAATGCTGTCAGAGGTGCACAGAGTTGCAGGAAAGGAGAAGGAATGCGAGACTCATGGCCTGTCGTCAGCTGGCAACTTAATATCCCCACACAATGAATACAAATGGAATGAGGGGTTGCAGTATGGTTAAGACAAAATGAACAAAACTACTGCAATAGTGCAAGTAACAATTATAATAATAATGGTAACCTAAATGTATACAAAATTATAAAAATACAGTAACATTATTTCTTTGACATTGTATCTGACAGATGAAAATCTCCAGAGTAGAAGCTTTGTTTCGTGGAGACTTCTTCCTACATCACAGATTCATAAAGAAATTTGGGCACTATGGTTGGTTAGAGATCTGAAATGAATACAACAAATGCTTTGTGAATGGAGAGCCAACTCGGAATGTTTGTGACTTCTGAAGAGTACTTCTTTATGAATCTGTGATGTAGGAAGAAGTCTCCACGAAACGAAACTTCTACTCCGGAGATTTTCATCTGTCAGATACAATGTCAAAGAAATAATGTTACTGTATTTTTGTAATTTTGTATACATTTAGGATAGTTATCATTATTATTATTATAATTGTTACTTGCACTATTGCAGTAGTTTTGTTAATTTTGTCAGCTGGCAACTGACAAGATGGATGAGTAGTTTCAGGATGACTACCAAGGATTTGGCTGGGAGTGTAGCACATTAAGACTCGGCTAGAAAATCAGCCGGGAGAAACAGCAGTTTTGTGTATGCATCAAGTACACATTGTTACTGAGCCACTGACCTTGCTGTTACTGGACTGCTGGAACCTTGACCCTTGGACTGGACCTATCAGCTTTTCTGGAACCCATGACCCTAAACTGGACTTGGACATTTTCTGTCAGCCATGAAGTGTAATTGTGCATGCCATGTACCTTGTGTCCAAGTGCGTATGCACAGAGCAGGCTATGCCTTCTCATCTTCTTGAGTTTTTCTAATTAAGTGTTTTTGTCACTCAATGAAGAGTTGTTATTGAACGTCTTGTAATTAGCTTGATTTAATGAACAAGGAGTTCATTAATCTACCAGTTTCCTCCTGGTGTGTGGGGCAGGAATTGTAGTAAGGAGGGGAACAGAATGAGTAAAAAAAAGCTGACTGGATCCAACCCAGTACTCTAAAAGGGTGATATGACTGTGCCTCTGACTTAGGGGTCTCCGCTTACTAAAGAGGCTATTTGCTTTGTATTAACAGCAAAAGCGGCTGCAATACCGTATTTACCAAAACCGGGCCACCTGCTGCAATCACAGAGACGGAGGATGCAATAACGGATATACTTTTATTACGTGTCTTCCAGAAAGCACAAACTATCTGCCAAAATCTGGTTCAGTTCAGAAATAAAGCTTTATTATAACCACCAGCAGCGCTCATTTGCCAATTTTTAAACTTTTGTCAGCAGAACACAGCAAGATGACCTTCGGCTTTTTACATTCAGGACCTTGCCCTGGTCTTAACGAAAAGAACTCTCAGAATTAAATTAAATAGGAATCTCAGCAGTTAAAAAAATAACTAAAAATCATAGCTGCCAACCTTGCCAACTATGAGCAGCTCTGTACAAGAGACCAGAAATCCATAAAGCCCTGGAGTAGTTTCTCGGACTACATACGAACAGAGAATACAAAGATACTAGGAAACATGTCAGGACGGACTTCAGTCCCTCCAGTTTTGTGGAAACATATTGATATGTATAAGAACTATTTATTGTACAGCGACATTAGAGCTTCCGTGTCAGTGAATACTGTCAGCCATATCCCTTTACATGAAATACAAATATTGTCCACATCACAAAACAATATCAGGTCTAGCATTTGCAACACAGGTAATGTTTTGCAGACAAATAAGAAGTACTTGGACTCAATACAGGTATGTGTGCTCTGGGAACAGAGAGTGGGTCTTATAGCAAGGGCTGGGCACTGAATGGGAACCTTCAGAAAATCTGTTGCTCAAAGAGGATCTTTTCAAACCCTGTTGGAGGCGTGTGATAAAAGTCACTGAACTGGCAATCCAAAATGGCGCTGTCATCCACTGTAACAGGGAACGAAAAAGGAAAGAGAACAGTGAAGAACGGGCAATTGTATCATTAGAAAACATGTTATGAGTTTTAATTAGTTAAGTTTTAGATATACTGAATAGAATATTAGAAGAAGAGATTGGATTTATACCCTGCCCTTCACTACCCAAAGGTGTCTCAGAGCGGTTTACAAGCTCCTTTCCCTCCCCCTCCCCACAACAGACACCCTGTGAGGTAGACGGGGCTGAGAGAGCTCTTGACAGAAACTGCTCTTTTTCAAGGACAGCTCTTATCAGAGCTACGGCTTGCCCAAGGTCCTCCAGCCAGGTGCAAGTGGAGGAGTGGGGAATCAAACCCGGTTCTCCCAGATTAGAGTCCACGCACTTAACCACTACACCAAACTGGCTTAAGAATATTATTAATGTTAAATAGTTTGTATTATTTCGGATTCTCTGTATCAATTGTTTTATATTTATTTAATAACATTTATTTTTTTTAAAAAAAGGAACGGGCACATATTTCAGCTTTAACAGCTCTGATGCTGGTGAGTAGACGTATTAATCTCTAGAAGAACAAGAAGTCCAGCAGCACCTTAAAGACCAACAAAATTTTCCAGGGGAAAAGTTTTCCTGTGTCGAAGCTCACTTTAGTCACATATAAATGAGAATGAAGATCCAGAATCACTGTAAGCCATCTTGTTGGCTTTCTGAAGCGTGGATTGGTTGTACAGCCCAACAAGGAGATTCTCTAGACCGGGGGGTCGAACTCATTTGTTACGAGGGCTGGATCTGACATAAATGTTGCTTTGTTGGGCTGGGCCAAGGGTAGCCAAACTGTGGCTCAGGAGCCGCCTGCGGCTCTTTCACACATATTGTACAGCTCCGGGCAGGGCGGCTGGTGATGTGAAAGGGAGGCAGGCCTCTCCAATCCATCTTCCCTTCCCCAGCCAGTGTTCCCCTCCCTGGGTAGGCTTGAGGTGGGGGGGAGGGGGGGCCAGAGAAAGAATGCAACTTTAAATTCTTTCTTTTCATCTTTCTCTCTCTTCCTCCCCTCCCCCATCTATTTACTTCCTTTGGTTCTCTCTCTCCCTCTCTCTGACAAATACCATTAGCAAGCAAATATCATTGGACAAATAAATACAATGATCAATATCTGTTTTTACCCCCTTTTGTTTTTTATTTCTGGCAGTCTCATCTAATGCTAATAAAAAGCAAATCTGCATATTTTCCAATAAAAACATGGGTAATAGTCTGTTCTGCGGAGCTGCGGTGGCTCAAGTGGTTAAGACGCTGAACTGCAGGCTGTGGAAGGTCGGTAGTTCAGCAGTTCGAGACCCGAGTGTGCCACATGACAGAGTGAGCTCCTGTCTCTGGCCCCAGCGCCTCAACTTTAAATTCTTTCTTTTCATCTTTCTCTCTCTTCCTCCCCTCCCCCATCTATTTACTTCCTTTGGTTCTCTCTCTCCCTCTCTCTGACAAATACCATTAGCAAGCAAATATCATTGGACAAATAAATACAATGATCAATATCTGTTTTTACCCCCTTTTGTTTTTTATTTCTGGCAGTCTCATCTAATGCTAATAAAAAGCAAATCTGCATATTTTCCAATAAAAACATGGGTAATAGTCTGTTCTGCGGAGCTGCGGTGGCTCAAGTGGTTAAGACGCTGAACTGCAGGCTGTGGAAGGTCGGTAGTTCAGCAGTTCGAGACCCGAGTGTGCCACATGACAGAGTGAGCTCCTGTCTCTGGCCCCAGCGCCTACCAACCTAGCAGTTCGAAAGCAAGAAATTGCAAGTAGATAAATAGGGACCACTTCAGTGGGAAGGTAACAGTGCTCCGTGCGCCTTGGTGTTTAGTCATGCCGGCCACATGACCACGGAAATGTCTTCGGACAGCGCTGGCTCTTCGGCTTTGAAACGGAGATGAGCACCGCAACCATAGAGTCGGACTTGACTGGCTTTCGAGCAAGGGAACCTTTACCTTTTTAAATTTCTGTTCATGTCTTGTGGCTCTCCGACATCTGACGTTTATTCTGTGTGGCTCTTATGTTAAGCAAGTTTGGCCACCGCTGGGCTGGGCCCTGTGTGCCACAAGACGTAAAGCCAGGTGCTGGAGATATAACCTGTATATAAAGGACCGCAGCTGGTAAGCTCCGGGTTGGTGTGTCCTCACTGCAAGGCCCCCTGGGCTGGGAGGGGGGTGCAGAGGAAAAGCCACATGGGCGGACTGGAGACCCAGCAGTGCAGCGCTGGGCATGTGCTCCCATGCCCCAACACACGATTGTTTGCAAAAACCCCCCCCCCACTTAGAGGTTAAAAATGAGTGGATTCCTAATACTCTTCTGTACTTGCTGCAAATTCTGGTCTATGAATAATGCCTGAGAGACCACAGGAAGTCCACACAACAGATATCAAGAGAGAGCTGCATTACTGGTAGGCAGAGGTCATTTCGGGGGGGATCCCCCGGGTGAGGTACGGGGTGGTGGGGCACATGACGAAGCCCCGCCCCCTGCTTCCAGCCGCCCCGCTTCCGGCCCTCATTCAGACAGGAGGAGGCAGGAGAAGAGGGAGGGTAAGTTGCTTCCTCCCTGCCTCTCCCCACCCCTGCCTGCCTGGGGCCAGGGAGGGCCTTCGCGGGGCTTCCTTGCTCACCCGCCGGCCTTGCAGGTCCACCGCCGGGACCGAGAAGACGCAGGGGAAATGTATATGATTTTACTAGATTTCAAGATGCAGGATGAGGAAGTCAAGGTGTCTATGACTGCCTGGGCTAAGAACTTGGGTTACAACATCTAATTAGATAAGTGGACCAGAGTTTGGCAAATTAACATGAAATATACCAAAGCTGTGTCTCTTAAAGAAAACAAATGTTGGAAATGCAAATGTAAAGTTGGTTCCTTTTACCGCATTTGGTGGAGCTACGACATAACTAAGAAATTCTGGATCGAAGTACACGAAATGTTAATGCAAATATTAGGGGTATGTGTTCCCTTTAAACCGGATATGTTTCTGTTAAATGTAATCCCAGAATAATTTCGGAAATTAGATTCATATATGATATCTCACATAGTAACGGCTTCCAGAATTGTATTTGCGAGTAAGTGGAAAACAGAAGAAATACCCTCTGAAAAAGATGTAATTTGTAAATTAATGGACATAGCCGAAATGGACAACTTAACAATGTGACTTCAAGGAAGAGGAGAAAATATTTTTCAAAATGTTTGGTCAAGATTTTACGAACGGATGGAGAGAAATATTTAATTTTGAAGATCAAAATAATACAATATATTCTCGCCAGAAACCAACAATACTATTTGGTTTAGGTGGCGGGGTGGATCCTTCTTTATGTTGTATTGTTTGTATTTTTGTGTGTTGGTGTTTGAAAATTTATAAAGATAATCATAAAAAAGAGAACTATTTCTTGTTGTGCTTCTTCATTGCAATACAATTGTATACAGTATTTTAGACTACTTCTCATTCTAAGTTTGACGCCTATTTTCATAGTACACATTCCGGAAGAGCGAGGGTGGCACAGATGTTTTTTAACATTTTTAAGAACCCTAACTTACCATATACTACAGGGAAGACTGTTCCTCTGATTCCTGACGCCGGACAGTGCATATTTTTCCCATTTAGGTAAACATTTAGTTCTACATGGTCATACGTAATACCCTGTAAGACAAAAAGATGTAAAATAAAAGTCTATGCACCACAGTCTCCCTTTGTCAAGGTGGCAACCAAAATTCAATACGATCTCTGCATTCTGACGCAAATTCTTCCGAGAACATCTTTAAAAGATTTCATCGCTACAGGTCATTTATCTCTAAGGCACAAATGGGCACGTTTCTTTCATTCCAGAAGGGACCTACTATTTCACAGACTGGAAAACTGAGGCTGGTTACTCACAGCTGCGTCCCAAGTTGGTATTATACTCATCAAGATGACTTACTATGTAAAAATGCTACCGAGGAGGAGGTGAGAGTTTCAAATTTAATCAAGAAATACTACAGTACTAACAGACAGATGAGAGTCCAGTAGCACCTGAGAGACTAACAAGGTTCTTGGCGTATGCCCTGACCCAGATAGCCCAGGCAAGCCTGATCTCGTCAGATCTCAGAAACTAAGCAGGGCCGACCCTGGTAAGTAATTGGAAGGGAGACATCCAAAGGCTATCAGGGCTGGGACACCAAGGCAGGCAATAACAAGCCACCTCTTTGAAATGTCCAAGCCCCACTATGGGTCGCCAGAAGTCAACCATGACTTCCAGGCATAAACACGTACACAAACACGCATACACACACACCCTACTCACCCCCCCCCCCAAATGATTCTTGGGTTATAAGCTTTCGAGAGTCAAACTAAGTATGGTACTAGGAAGGCAAAATAAGTTAATGAGCCTGTGACGACCCCTTATCTGGGGAGGTATGGTTTCCCTGCCACCAGGAAATTTTAAAAGGCTTTCCAAACCTTTATGCTTTTACTCTTTCTATTACTGGGTAGGTAGGTCGAGTTTAAGGCTTTCTAGGAACTAATGTGGTTCTGAGGAAGTATTCCTTTCAGAGCTGGTATACTTAAATAAAAGAAGATTTATTAAAATAACTCATAAATAAAAGTGTAGAACAATGTAACCAGTAATGTGAATAATTTTAACAATTGCGTTGTGTCTCACACAAGATCTGCTCCCTTTCTGACAGGGATCTTTCAAGTAACTTTGTAACTCATTACTCAGGGTCATATACGTTTCTTATTTCACTCCAGTCTGTCACTCAGACTTTCATATAACTTTTGTTTCCTTAACTTTACTTTACTGTTTCCTTATACATTCAACTTTTCTTCATACACAGGACTTAACTCTTGTATCACACACAAGACTGTCTCTCTCTCAGACCTCAGAAAAGAACTAACTTATCAACTGTCTTCATCAACTGTCAAACCAGTAACTGTCACTCTAGACTGACATCCATACTCCTCCACTCATTTTTCACTTCCAAAACCCCTCCCCCTTTCTGCTAATCACCAATCAGACCACACTTGCCTGTTTCAACCACTCTAGACTATCTCTCACAGCCATGCAACCAAACTTTTAAAGCGACACACACACATATAAGACAAGGAATCGTTACAGAGCCCAATTAAGCTGCAGCTGGATTCTCATTTGGTCAGTGCTATCTTATGTTTGTTTACTCAGAAGTTAGACACGGCATGGTCGATGCGTAGAGATGTGAAGGCCCGGGGGGAAAACGGGAAAATTAGGGAAAAAACCATTTTTTCCCGTTTTTTCCCTGAAGCCTTTTTTGTTTTTTTCCGAAAAATTCCGAAAAATTGGAAAAATTGAAAAAAGAAAAAAAAATGATTATGGAACGTTTTATTTTAACATGATGAATAAAATATTTTAAGACAAGGTGTTCAAATATTTTCCAAATATATATATATATATATATATGGTATCAGATTGATCTAATTTCTGTGCACTGAGGACAAGCAAGTCCTAGGTTACAAGCTGAACTCTCCAATGCAAGAACAAGATGCATTTCTTCCTTTAGGAGGTGCTATTGTCACAAGAAAATAAAATGGTTTCAGTTTTGTTTTTGCATGTGGGTGGGTATTCTGTTTGTAATAATTGTTTGGATACACTACATTTTTAATATGCTAGTTGTGATAATTTCATGCCAAGTAAAAATGTCCATAGTTTTTTCCAAGCTTCAAAATTTTCGGAAATTTTACATCTCTATCGATGCGTCTTCGTTGGCGTAGCAGTGAAGTGCGCAGCCTCTAATCTTGGAGAACCGGGTTTGATTCCCCGCTCCTCCACATGCAGCTGCTGGAGTGACCTTGGGTCAGCCACAGTTCTTGCAGAGCTGTTCTCTCAAAAGCAGTCCTCGAAAGAGCCCCAGCTATGTCACGGGGTCTCTGCTGAGAGGAGAGGAAGGGAAGGAGACTGCAAGCCGCTCCGAGACTCCGAGTGAAAGGCGGGGTATACGTCCAATCTCGTCTTCTTCCCAACTAAGTCTGCACAGGATTGCAGAATTTATTGGGATTCTTCTGTATAAGGAAGATGATATAGCCTCCTCTAGGCGGTACAAAACTGTTTAGCACTGGAAGGCTGCCGTGTGGCCTCCTGTCTGTACTCCACCTTATGAACAACAAGCAGCACACCCTGTGTATGTCAGACTTATGTCACATGACATAAGAATGGTTTCAGAAGTTGTATATAGACAGCCTCCTATTCGGTGCTGCTGAGGCCATGGCAAGTGATGATTAGACATTATAACGAATGAGGAAACCCAAGTCTCGGTTGATGCCAGGATAATTTTAATTCTAAATTTATTTAAATCTAAATGGCATCAGCTACACCATCTCAGCCGTGTGCCCATCACCCTATTTAATATGCCCTCATGCGCCAACAGTGCCCTTTTAAGTGTCTACATTGGATAAGCGTGCCAGTCCCAACACAAGAGAATCGATGAACATAAATCTGACATAAGAAATCACAGTGCTCAGGAACCAGTGGGGGAATATTTTAATCTTCCAGGACGTAACTTGCACATCTGAAAGTCACTGTTCTTCAAAAGGAATACACAATGTGAAACTGTTGAATTAGAATTCATCAGGAAGCTAAATACCTTCCGTCATCCCAGCTTAAACTAAGACTAGGGTCTCCTCACTCGTCATAATGTCTAACAACCCAAGAGAACCTTCTTCTTAACAACTTCAATAGACAATTTTTAAAATGCTGTTTCATAGTGTAACCTTTTACTAATGTTGGTCAGTTCTCTCATGCTTCAAACAGCTTCTTCCTTAAGTAGCTTGTTATTTACCCTGCTATATTACATTTCTGTTTATCTTCTCTGCATGGGAGAGAAGCCAGAACCTCTGACCCCCCCCCCCCTATTATCCATTCAACTTCCCAAGAAGTTCAAGTCCACATAGAATCTCACCTGAGTTATTCTACTAGGCCCCTCTCTGCTCAAATTCTGTCTCCTTCCCATTCTGTAATTTTCTGTAAAAATGAGGCAAAGGGGTTTCTCTCTTCCCATTGTACCTGAAGAAGTGAGCTCTGGTTCACAAAAGCTCATACGAGGATAAACATCGTTAGTCTTCAAGGTGCCATTGGACTGTTTTCTTTTTGTGCTCCAGGCTGATGGCACTGAAATTCTGGGCCCACGTTTTATGACAAGAAAATCTGTGATCCACTCAAAGCCCTGACCCCAGCGACTTAACACTCTCATTCAACCACAAGACTTATGTCCGAGACTTCTGCAGCTTTGCCCACATACTTTCAAGAATATTTCCCCAGCCCTAAGAACTAAAACTTACTTTTAAAAAGCAAAGGCAGTGGGAGATGCAATAGAGCTGAATTCCATACCCTGTTCCCCATTCTCTGCTATAGCAGCTTTGCACATCTGAGCCTCCTGAAAGTGCCACTGCGCAAATGAGTACAATCAAAAGTTGCCCACGCCTAAGCATTCTCTATGGGCCCTGGGGGACCTTTCAAAGTTCCGCAGGGCCTGTAAGATGGAGCTTTTCCGCCAGGCATTCAGTTAGGGGCCGCCGGCGTTGGACCGCTGTTGGGCCACCATTAGATCGCCTGACTGTTGCAGCACCTGGCCCATGAGCTACCATCGAGCTGTTGCCTTAAGGAAACTACGAGCAGAAAAACACCTTAGAACATTGGGAAATGGAAATCCATTGAAAACGGGTCGTTTAAGTGACTTTTAATTGCTGCCAGCACTTTATGCTTGTTGATTTGTAGTGTTTAATAATTCTGTTTTTATGCTGTTGATATGTCGTGTTGGAAGCCGCCCTGAGCCTGCTTTGCGGGGAGGGCGGGGTATAAATTTGATAAATAAATAAATAAATAAATAAATAAATATTGTGGCTCCCACTGGGGGAAACCCCCCCCCCCCCCGGACAAGGGGCTTTGGGAGTTTTTTCCTGTTCTACACGTATTTTGCTCCCTCTAGTGGTCAAATCGATATTACATTGGTTTATGTGTGGCATAAAAACCTGCCGTTTAAATCTGCAGGGAGATAGGCCAGATGTAAACCAATGTAATATTGAATCGACTAACAGAGGGGAAGAAAACACATGCCGAATAGACACACACACACACCCCGAACCAACAAGAACTTACAAGTGAGGAAAATACGAATGGACAAAAGGCCGAGGGCAGGAAAACTCATACTTCTACTGTGCCACCTGTAAAACACAACTGTTCAGGAAGGGCTTTTTCGAAACGCAACAGGGTCACAGTTTTCACCGCTTTGTCCCTTTGCGTGCATTATACTGCCGCGCTGTTTCTCCAATTTTATTATCCTGTTTTATTGCATTATTGACATTATATTATACAGCACTGACCGCTTTGCTTTTATTGTATGGTCGTGACAATCGACCACAAAGAGCATAAATCACAAATCACAAGCAACATGGTTAAAACAGCCGAACCTGAAGGTCAAATAAAAAACTTTTCACCCTTCAGATACAACTTCAGCCCCCCGTTTTTTTTTGGCTGCCAAGGAAAACAACATGCATGAAACAAGAAAGTCCGTATCCAAGAAAAGAAAAATCATCTTCTTTGCTTCTAAAGAAAAGATTAGTTCCATCAAGAACGTTGAGAGAATTTAGATACTGTACAGAGGCAGCAGGACAGAATGTAATTTCTATCTTTACTACTCTGACCTACAGGTCTTCAGTAGTATCAGTCAAGGCCAACTAGGAATAAAAGGAAGAGTTCAACCAGAGATGACGAGTGACACTCTTTTAGAGAAGACATCTTGTAACAGAATATGATGAGACAGATCCTCTGGAACTGGAGTTCCATAGATACATCCAGGGGTCGTTTGGGGCTCCGACAAGACTCCACAGCTTAGAGGGAACATTGCTTACAACCACATTCTTTTCCTCTCCCCACAACAGGCACGCAATGCTCCCTCTAAGCTGTGGAGTCTTATGAGCAAAAATCCTACTTTGTGAGCTACTGGCATTAAAGTTGTGAGCGAGCGATTTGGCTGCTGCATAAATTAGTTGGCTCTGGAGCCATCCTTCCTGTGCTAAGACAAAAATGTGTGAGCCGGAGGGTAAAAAACCGTGAGGTAGCTCACACTGACTCAGCTTAGAGGGAACACTGCTTGTGAGGCAGGTGGGGCTGAGAGAGTTCTGAGAGGAACTGTGACTGACCCAAGGTCACCCAGCAGGCTTCCTGTGGAGGAGGAGCCGGGAATCAAACCTGGTTCTCCAGATTAGAGTCCGCCACTCTTGACCACTACACCATGCTGATGCTACAAGTGTATGAGAGATACTGTTCTGACGACCAGGTCTGCTTTGAAATAATCTGGAAATAAAGAGATCGTAAACGCAGTTACATGACACCGAAAGAAACTCACCACCACGTCGCCCTCCTGTGGAAGGCTGTTTGCCGGCAACCTGTTCTTTTCTTCATTGTTGTAGTAAAGTGCACCGTCATTTCTCAGGACTAAACTATTCGTATCACGCCCAAGAGGGATTTGATTCAAGTGGACTTTCTGAGTTGCGACTCCAACACCCCAGATTCCTGGAGACACGGTGGGAGAAGAGAAAAACCCCAACGACAGACAGGAAGACAAAGAAAAGTGTGCAAATGAAGCCCCGACAAGGGGAGAGAGTAATATTCCAAAGGTGTACACAGAGTTACAGCAAAGCACAGAGAAACGTAGCCACAGTAAGACTGCATTCCTCTGCGCCAGATCAGGGAGTCAGATAAACGCTACACTTTATCTCTACGATGGAACAAAACCTTTTTAAAGAGAGGGGTTTTTTTTAAAGCTGAATACCCATTTAGAACTTCAGTAGAACTAATTACCAGGATGATTGTGACAACTGAACATGCTTCTTTCCATTGTTATTTTCTCTGTATAAATGTTGATGCTTATGTTCCCCCCCCCCCATTCATTGTTTATATGGTGTTCATTCTATCGTTTATTCTGTAGTTAAATTGGACAGTTCTGTTACTACGATATTTATGCCGTTTCACAGTTTTACGAATATACATATTTTAAATTTACTGGGCTTATAATCATTCCTATAACTGCTTTTCTGTTTTGTTGTTGTTCAGTCGCACAGCTGAGTCCGACTCTTCGCGACCCCATGGACCAGCTCCTGCCAGGCCCTCCTGTCTTCTGCTGTCCTCTGAAGTTTGCTCAATTTCATGCTCGTTGCATCTATGACACTGTCTAACCATCTCATTCTTTGCCGTCCCCGTCTTCTTTGATCTCCAATCTTTCCCAGCATCAGGGTCTTCTCCAGGGAGTGCTCCCTTCTCATTTGGTGGCCAAAGTATTTGAGCTTCAGTTTCATTATCTGGCCTTCCAGGGAACAGTCAGGGTTGATTTCTTTTAGGATTGACTGATTTGTTCTTCTTGCAGTCCAAGGGACTCTCAAGAGTCTTCTCCAGCACCATAGTTCAAAAGAATCTATTCTTCGGCGCTCGTTTAGAGAGCCTTATTTTGTTTCCTTTTTCTCGGGAAGATTATTACACATTCCAGCTTTTCCTGGCTGACCCGATCTCGTCAGATCTTGGAAGTTAAGCAGGGTCGGCCCTGGTTAGTACTTAGATGGGTAACCATCAAGGACGTCCAGGGTTGCTATACAGAGGCAGAGAACTGTAAACCAGCTCTGCTCATCTCTTGCCTTGAAAACCCCATGAGGGGTTGCTGTCAGTCAGTTACAATTTGACAGCACTGGACACACTCTGACTTGGATGGCCCAGGCCAGCCCGATCTCATCAGAGCTTGGAAGACGAGACGGGTCGGCCTTAGTACTTGGATGGGAGACCACCAAGGAAGTCTTAGGTTGCTCTGCAGAGGCAAGTAATGGCAAACCACCTCTGGTGGTATTCATAGACCAGAATTTGCAGCAACTACAGAAGAGTATTAGGAATTCACTCTTTTTAAACCCTCTAAGCCAGGGGTGTCGAACTCATTTGTTATGAGGGCCGGATCTGACATAAATGAGACCTTGTTGGGCCGGGCCACGTGTGGCATAAAGTGTAATGCCAGGTAGCGGAGATAGAAACTTTATAAAGGACACAAACGCAAAGGTGGGCTTTTTACTTAAAATAAAAACATGCTTAAAACATTAGCACTCTTGCAATATTTTGCTTATTTAACAGTGTCCGATAACTGACACCTCTTGCTCTGAATTACTGCATCAAAATGCCTGTGCTGTTGCAATCCTGAGTATGCCGTTCAGGTGTGTATCTGTAAGCTGCAAAACTACGATGACGTAGCAGTGGCAGAACTGGAAGAAGAAGCAGAAGGCAGCCAGCTCCACTGCAGGCCTGACAGAAGCCCTCCGGGGGCCTGATCTGCCCCCCGGGCCACATGTTTGACACCCCTGCCCTATAGGGTCACCATAACTCAGTTGCAACTTGATGAGAATTTCTACCAATACTCTGTAGGACTATGTATTTTTAAGTCTCTGAAGCGGCAGGAGTTACAGTTGGAGTTCTAAGCTTAGTTTTCTTGATTGTTAATTTGGGGAAAAACCCAATAAATACTGCTGGGGGAAGACTACTAATTTTATTCGGGAAAACAGCATGAGATTAGGAGCTTAAAGATACAAGCGTTTCAAACATATTGTGAAGCTTTTCCCACTGACCTGTAGACTGGATTTTAAACTCAAAGTAACTCTTGTTTTGATGCAGAGGGGCGTTGGCTAAGCAGCCTCCCGTACCGCAAACTCTTCGTCCGTTCTTGACGATGACAACGTCTGTCCCTGCAGAAGTACAAATGACACCAAATATTTTAGACTGCATCCAGTTCTTGCTGAAGTCTTAAACTGCACTGCTACCACATAATCCAAGCCATTCACACCCCTTGTTACATTCATGACATCTGCATAGTTATTCAATAATGCTTTAAGATCCAAACATTTATGAATCAAGGCTGGACAAATCCCAATTCCTGGCAATACCTATGGAAAGCAGAAAACCAGTAGCACCCCTAATCCAATGCTCCCTCTAAGCTGTGGAGTCTTGTGAGCAAAAATTCTACTTTTGTGAGCTGCTGGCATTAAAGTTGTGAGCGAGTGGTTTGGCTACGGCATAAATTAGTTTGCTCTGGAGCCATCCTTCCTGAGCTGAGGCAAAATGTGTGAGCCAGAGGCTAAAGAACCGTGAGCTAGCTCACACTAACTCAATCTTAGGGGGAACACTGCCCCGTCTGCTTTTATAACAATCAGGAAAGTTATGTCTCTTGTGAGATGATTTGTAGGGGTGTTCGCACATGACAATTTTTCTACAACAGAAACAGCTTAACATGGCATCTATCACGCCTGTTCACACTTGGATTTTGTCACTCAACCATGTACTCCCTGTGCTGTGAACTTCCTAATATGCGTAGTGTCCATGTTGTGTAAAAGAGACAATGCATGTATTTTCCGCGCACATACAATTTACACACAATATGTGCAAACAGAGCACTGCGTTTTTGAGGGAATATGCTTCTCTTATACGGTCAGTCACAGATAGGAGACGGTCTCTCTTTTATGTGATTAGATAAGAACATAAGAGATGCCAATGTTGGATCAGGCCAAAGGCCCATCCAGTCCAACACTCTGTATCACACAGTGGCCAGAAATACCAGGTGCCATCAGGAGGTCCACCAGTGGGGCCAGGACATTAGAAGCCCTCCTACTGTTGACCCCCCCCCCCAAGCACCAAGAAGACAGAGCATCACTTGCCCCAGAGCCCCTAGCTATACCTTGTGGCTAATAGCCACTGATGGACCTCTGCTCCATCTAATTCCCTTTTGAAGCCGTCCATGCTTGTAGCCACCACCACTTCCTGTAGATCCGCTACATCTGCTTCCTGCATTCCATGGCCCCTTGACCTCACTGTCTGGTATATTTTTTTTAAAAAGTTCACACCTCCTACCTGAAACAGCTTCAGGTGAGGAGCCATGTCAGTCTGTAGCGCAAAAACATCTGAGTCCAGCAGCATCTTAGAGATCGACACCATTTCCCCGGGTGTAACGTTTCGGGGTTAATACTCGCTGGTATCCGACAAGGTGAGATTAGATTCCCTGGAATATTTTGTTGGTCTCTAGGTGCTGCTAGACTCACATTTTGCTGTCCTGCATAAAATAAAACCCAAAGTCGGGCTTGCCAGCCTTCTGATGGGTTAATGTAGAAACAACAGAGAGATCACGGGAAGGATGCAGACAACCAAGAAAACAGCCATGATGTAGTATTATCAAAATACACATTTAGACTGCTGTTTTGCAGTGAGTATTTCTTTGATAGGTAATCAAGTTGTACGCACGCACTCACAACAGAATTTGCATATATTCCCGTTTCACATGACCGCTTTATCTCAGTGTGCTGCGTGAATAACATTCGTTTGCACATGAGCACGTTAAGAATCTGTTTCATCGAAGTGGGAAGAATGCTGAGTGTTAAATTCACGGATTAGTATTGCTGACGTGTAAACTAATGTTATTCATGCAGCACACTGAGATAAAGGGGTCATATGAAACAGGGATATATGCAAATTTTGTTGTGTGTGCGTGCGTACATCTTGATTACCTAGTGAAGAAATACTACTCACTGCAAAACAGCAGTTTAAATATATATTTTCATAATACTACATCACGGCTGTTTTCTTCATTGTCTGCATCCTCCTGATAGGACCTGGAACTCTCCCAGAGTTCAAACTGATCCCTAGACTGTAGAGATCAGTTCCCTGGGGGGGCGGGGAGTGATGGCTTCAAAGGATGACCGAAAACTAATTTTATTTATTTTGAATTATTATTATTATTATTATTATTATTATTAAACTTTTATACTGGTTTCCCCTCAGAGCGGGCTCAGAGTGGTGTACAACATTTTACATCGAGGCACACAAACAATCCATTAACCTAAACATACAGATAAAATACAGAAATCTTAAAGCAACATTGGTGGTACATACAAAAACATAAAACCTCTGTGGTGTCACAAGACAATTTTAACCCCTGATGGCCGGGGGTGGGGGGAGGAAGAAGAAGAGATTGGATTTATACCCCGCCCTTCACTACCCAAAGGTGTATCAGAGGGGCTTACAAACTCCTTTCCCTTCCCCTCCCCACAACAGACACCCTGTGAGGTGGGTGGGGCTGAGAGAGCTCTGACACCGGGCTTCAGAGCATGGGAGAGGCTGCACTGGTGTGTGAAGGGTGGAAAGCTGCAGAGTGAGGGGAAAATAAAGGTTGGTTGATGACTAGCTGGGGAGGATAGGGTTGCCAACTCCAGGTGGGAAATTCCTGGAGATGTGAGGGACGGAGCCTGGAGAGGGTGAGGCTTCAGGAGGCGTGGGACCTCGGACAGGTACAAAGCCAAAGACTCTACCCTCCAAACCAACCATTCCCTTCTGGGGAACCATCGTTGCCAATCTCCAGGTAAGGGCTGGAGATCACTCAAAATTACAACTGTTCTTTAGGTAGCAGAGATCAGTTCCTCTGGAGAATATGGTGGATTCAGTGAAATACCCTGCTGCGGTCGCCACAGCAAATTGACACTGAGTGTCCAAGGCCGGGGCACCCGCCCAGAGCCTCTTTCTAGAGGCCGTTGTATTTATTTCCACAAGGGGCCTTTTTCCTAGTTTAACAATAAACAGAAATGAACCAAATGCTCCCTCTAAGCTGCAGTCTCAGGAGCAAACATTCTACTCAGTGAGCTACTGGCATGAAAGTTGTGACCCAGCGATTTGGCTGCTGCATCAGTTAGCTTGCTCTGGAGCCATCCCTTCCTGAGCGAAGACAAAAAAAAGTGTGTGAGCCGGAGGCTAAAGCACTGTAAGCTAGCTCACACTGACTCAGCTTCGAGGGAACACTGATATTTAAGACTATCCCGCCCAACCTCGCTAGCTATGGCATCGCATCCCCCAACTGAGACTTTCCCCCCTCCTCCCCAAATCTCCAGGAATTTCCCAAGCCAGAGTTGGCGACCTTAAATTGCAAAGCAAAGATCGACTGCGCCTGACAAAGGAGGCTCTAGCTCAGGAGAGGAAACGCTGGGGCGGGCGAAGACGCCGCCGGTCTGTCGGGCGCCCCCGCCAAGCCTCCTGCTTCCCCTGAGGGAGGGAAGGGGAGGGGGACGGACTGACAGCCAGCCAGCCTCTTTTCCTTCCACCGCCCCCCGCCTAGCCTACCTCGCAGGGCTGTCGCTGCCGCTTACCCATTCGCTGCGTGTCCAGCTGCACGGCCAGCATCTCCTTGAGCGGGATGTGGCCCCCGCCGCCTTCCCCGCAGCAGGCCCAGCGCAGGCAGCACCACACCGAGCCCGAGGCCGCCGCCGCCATGGCTCTTCCCGGCTCCGCTCCCTTCCGCGTCAGGAGGGCTGCGGCGGCGGCCTCCGCTCCCCCGCCCGCATACCGCCGGCTCCCCGTCCGACTGCCCTATGCGGGGTCCGCCATGTGCGGGGAAAGAAAGAGCCTCGAAGGTTAGGGGAAACCAGGGGTTGGGAGGGAGCGCCGCACTTTTCGCAGTCTTCTCTCCGGGCTGTTAAAAGTCTTTCACGGCAATAATCCGGCATCGATGGGACGCACGCCAGACCCGTGAACGGAGAGCCTGCACTATTTATTTATTTATGTATTTATTGGATTGGGTTTCTAGCCCGCCCTCTCCTGCACAGCAGGGCTCAGGGCGGGTTACAACAGCAGATATCGACAACTCATTTCAAGCATTTAAAACATCATTACGCGTTAAAACCTGTGCAAAACATCAGAGGATACAGATGCAGACGTGCGCCGGGGGTGTTCCGTGTCTTGTTTTGTACCGGGTGGGTGCACTTTTTTTTCTTTCCTGGGGAGTTACGCATTTTTCGTCTGGTTGCCTATTGTAAAAGCCTGTAACAAAAAGTCCTTGGACACTTTTACGGAAATCATTGCGTTCAGCAGCTTTCCCAAGCCGCCCGCGGCTCAATTCATTAGGTGCTTTTACCTCTTTGGGAATAACGTATCCTGCTACCACCTCTGACCCACACGTGGGGAAATTTTACTTCGATCCCAGAAGTTAGAGGTGTTTCCCCCAACTCTTTGTCTTACCGTGGATTTCCTTCGACTTTCTTGGCGAGCGGGAGCGCCCCCTGGTGTCTTCGCGAGCGAGTGACAAAGTCCTCCAGAGGCTGGTCTGGGAACCAAAATGACCAAAAGCATTTCTCAGAAGTTGTATTACTCTTCAGCAAGTAGGCAAAAGGACCAGAGAAACGCCATGTTTTGTGTTCCAAAACGTGCTTTTTGCATACATGAGTAACACCAAAATATCTTTGTCTTCTATCTCTCTGTCGTTGGTACTGCTAGTTGCAAGTGTTCCTTCTAGGGTTGCTAAGGTACAGGTGGACCTGGAGATGGAATTAGAACTGATCTCCAGACAACAGAGATCAGTTCCTGTGCAGAAAATGACTTTATAGGGTGGACACTATATGACAGTTTACCTTATGGAGGCCCCACCCAGGTCCAAACCTGGCCTTCCCCAGGCTCCATGTTCCAAGCCTCCAGGAATTTCCCAATTTGGAGTTGGCAACCTTAACTTTCAAACAACCCTCTAATGATCCCCAGGGATGTTGTAAAGCAGTTGTTACTATTGGGTATTGTAAATAAGAAGTGGGAGACTGACCAGTTATGAAGGTGCACAGAGAGTTTATATAGATATAAAGGTGAATATATACAGAGATATTTACAGGCTATCATACAGCATGTCGTGTCTAAGTCCCCATCCAGTTTACTAAGCTGATAGCTATTATGCTAAACCCCAGCCGATCTCTAACAAGGTGATGTAATCACTAACTCTAAGAAGCCCAGAAAAAGCAACACCTGCTAGAAACACCTGGCTGTAATTACATGATTACTAGCATGACAGCTAGGTCTGACAAACAGATCAAACTGATCTACAGTAACTGCTTGCTACCTCTTTCACTCTGACATATATCTCAATAATTATTTCCCCCCCCCCCTTTATGTTTTTTAGGCCTGGGGATTGTTAAGTCGTGCGCTTAACACAGAAGTCGGAGAGTGATTCAGCAAGAATGCGGTTTATTCTTCAGCTCTGTTACTTCTCCGGTACGGTACAACGATCGCCAGCCAGAACCCATCATTCGAACCATTTACACTGGCTTGTCGATATTTAAACACTCCCGGCTAATGTAGCCACACCCCCTGTACAATAAGGCAACCTATGAGGTTGAAGCAATAACAACCAATCACAAGCGATCCCGCTCTGCACGGTGATTGGCAGACACTTTCTGGGCTAGGGCTCCTATTGGTTACACTAGGATCCTAGCCCAGGATGAAGCTCAACATGGCATCTCAATCAGGCGATTCACACATCAGTATTACAATCAAGTCTCAATGGCACAGTTCACATAGTAGTTATATACAATGCAATACATAACATTACTACAAACCTGAAAAGGGCTCCAGGTTTGCAGGAAAATGTGAAATATTTAAAAAATACATTGCGTGGTTTTTAAAAAAAAATGATAAAAGTTGGGGGCACTCGGCTTGACTCACTCTCGAGTGGGTCAGGTACGCTACCATCCCTTGCAGCGGGTCCAAGAGTAGGGGTCTGCCCTCCCTCAGGGACAGTACTGGGCTCGGCAGGCTCGGCAGTACTCACCTCCGGTAGAGGTATGGGATGGTCATCGGAATCAGGTAGCTCGGCAGGTTGCGAGGTGGGGCGGCCAGTCGCCCACCGCTGCCTCAACTGGTCCACATGTCGCCTCCATTTGCGCCCGTCCGCAAGCTGGACTACATACATGCGGGAACCCACTACCTCAGTTACAGTGGCTGGAAGCCACGAATGTCCCCCAGCATAGTTCTTGGCGAACACAGTATCTCCGCACTCGTATGTGCGGACCTTATTGGGAACACTCTGCTGCTGGGGCCTCAAGTCGTTGAGGTCTGGATGCAGCCTATCCAGCAAAGACGCTAGGCGTCGCCCCATCAATAGTTCGGCCGGGCTGCGGCCTGTGGCAGAGCACGGCGTTACGTGTTGCCGTAGAAGGAATGACGCTAGTTTCACTCCCCAATCCCCGGATGTTAGCTTGGCAAGCGCATCCTTGGTCGTGCGGACCATTCGCTCTGCCTGCCCGTTCGATGCTGGGTGGAACGGGGCAGACGTAATTTGCCTGATGCCATTGTTAGCCAGGAATTGAGCAAACTCTTGCGACACGAACTGAGCGCCGTTATCGCTTACCAGGACATCAGGCAACCCATGCGTGGCAATTAAGCGGCGCAACACATTTATAACAGCAGTGGAAGTGGTGGTAGACATTGGCGCCACTTCCAACCATTTCGAAAAAGAGTCCACCACAATCAAAAACATTTGACCCTGTACTGGGCCCGCCAAATCTATGTGCAGCCTCGACCAAGGCTTTCCCGCCGATTCCCATTTCTGTGGGAAGGCGGTTGGCGGTTCGGGTCTCGCCTGCTGGCATGGCGTACACCCCCGTACCCACTCTTCAATGTCAGCATCCATCCCAGGCCACCATACATATCCCCGGGCCAGAGCCTTCATATGCACCATGCCGGGATGGCCCTCGTGTAGTGATTTCAGCACTTTTTCGCGCCAGCGTTGCGGTACAATCACTCTGTTCCCCCACAGCAAACAGCCCTTTGATACCGACATTTCGCTTTCCCGCGTTTTGTACGGTTTGAACTCCGGCTCCAACGTTCCTGCCGGCCACCCCCTCCACACCCAGTTAATAACACGACTGAGCACAGAGTCTTTTGCTGTCGCAGCAGCAATGTCCTTAGCAGACACAGGTGCCTCCGGCAGTTCCTCGATAGCTAGAATGGAGCAAGTAGGAGCAGGGTCCAAGTCCTGGCCGGGCAGAGGGCAGCGGCTGAGCGCATCAGCGTGTCCAATGGCCTTACCCGGCCTGTGCTCCAGGTCGAACTCGTAGGCTGAGAGGAACAAAGCCCACCGCAACATGCGTGCGGACATAACATCAGGGAGTTGCCGGTCCTGGGCAAAAATCCCTAGCAGGGGCTTGTGGTCTGTCACCAGTATGAATCTCCGTCCAAACAAAAAGTCATGAAACTTCTTAACAGCGGAAACTAGCGCCAAAGCCTCTTTGTCAATCTGCGCGTAGTTTCTTTCCGCTGCTGTTAGCGACTTGGAATAAAAGGCGATAGGGGCTTCCCGCCCGTCGGGCATTACGTGGCTCAGCACAGCTCCCACCCCAAATGGGGACGCATCAGCAGCTAACACAAGCAGTTTGTCCTCATCATAATGTGTTAACACTGCATCAGACGACAACAATTTTTTCACCCCATCGAATGCCCGCTCATGCTCTGGACCCCACCTCCATTTTGTGTCTTTATGCAGCAGGTTGTGCAATGGGGCCGCAATCGACGCCTTGTGGGGCAAGAAGGCGTGATAAAAATTAAGGAGTCCTAGGAAGGACTGTAACTCCTTCTTCCCTTGTGGCCGTGGGGCATTCTGGATTGCGGAGACCTTATCGTTAGTAGGATGGACCCCAAACTCATCCACCCGGAACCCCAAGAACTCCACACTCGGGACTCCCACCAGGCACTTCGACTTTTTTACCTTCAGGCCCGCATCAGAAAAACGTTTGAGCACCTCCCGCACTCGGCACAGCAGCTCGTCATCAGATTTGCCCGCTATTAAGACATCGTCAAAATAGGGCACCGTGCCCGGCACCCCCCTCAACAACCCCTCCATGAGGCTCTGAAAAATCCCCGGCGCAACATTCACTCCGAATTGGAGTCGATTTACTCTAAACGCCCCCCTATGCGTTACGATGGTCTGGGCGTCAGCCGCCTCTTTGGTCACGGGGAGTTGTTGGTACGCTTGGGCCAGGTCGAGTTTGGCGAATACCTTCCCTCCTCCCAGTGATGCCAGTACGTGGCTAATGACTGGTACAGGGTACGAATGCTGCTGCAAGGCTTTGTTAATCGTGCACTTGTAGTCAGCGCAAATTCGTATTGACCCATCGGGTTTAATTGGAGTAACAATGGGGGTTTCCCATTTACTACAAGGAACTGGTTCCAACACCCCTTGTTCAAGTAGCTTATCGAGTTCAGCCTCGATCTTTGCCTTGAACGGAATGGGCACTTTCCTGTATTTTAGGCGTATAGGGCGTATAGCAGGATCCAACTCAAAAGACACTGGGGGACCATTATACTTTCCCAATCCGCCCCCAAACACTTCAGGAAATTCAGCATATAATACAGCCCATTTATTTTCCACAACGTTATTAACTCCCACAACAGCAATACCCAGAGGCTCAAACCAGTCCAACCCGAGCAGGTTGGTACGGTTTCCCTCAGCGATCAAACATGAAAGCACAGCACCTTTCCCTTTGAAATTA